AATAAATAAATAAATACATACATAAATCAAGAAGCTTCCTGTAGACAGCAGATTATTAGGGCATCATCATTGGCATGTTGGAAAAGGTGGGCAGATCACCAGATTTTAAGACACAGTTGGGGATTTCAGCTTACACATGACATTTACTGAACAGCAGCTTGGTGTATTAGTAGCATAAATAGCTATATTTAATGTGGAAGCATAGTATTTTATTGACGTGCCATGTAAACATTGGGTGTGAATCAACGTATGTTAAACATATGGTGCATATCAGAATACCACAGTACTACTTACTTCACGCTATCATTACACACCCATGTGACATATAGATATGGTACACAATACAGTAGACTGTTGATTTAAATATGATAACACGTACTGATAGAATGAAGCGTCTGTTTAATCCTAAATAACCAGCTGAAACCAGCGGTGTTTACTGTGGTGTTTTACAGCAACAAACCAGCGTTACCCTCCCCCACAACCAACCTTAAAAACATCACCGATACATATGTGCTGAATATCTTCACTCACCCTCCTAAAAGATGAACAGACAATTCAAGTGTAGAATCATAAAAACACTGGGGTCTTCTCAGCGGGTTGTTGTATTTGTCTTTCCACACAAGACACAAGCACTGCGTTTCCGTCCACTGGCAGGCCTTTACTTGAGCTGCGGACACTTGCGTACTACGTCACGGTGTCTTTGCGTGCACGTGACGTATGCAGTTTCTGCGTTTACCCAAGTTCCTCGGTTTCCCGCCCGACATCAACATAACGGTCGTGCGATGACGTTACATTACTACTTCGTGATGAAAAGTTAAAATTATTCGCCTTTTTTGACGATATTTGGCAAGTTTTATGTTTAAAAAGCAAATTTGGTGGTCAAAAGAAAGAAATAACACTGTAGCCTATATTAAGATGACAACTGAAACTTCCTGAGGTAACTTAATTTCAGCTACAGTAGTTACATGTTTAGTAATGTTACATGTTGTAAGACATTGCTTTGTATTACAACACTGTCGAAATATTGATTAAATACTAAAATGAGGCACATTCTAATTGAATACACATTTGAATAGATTTAAGTAATTTTTGTTGAGTAACAGTTTTTAAAGAAAGAAATTTTGGGGTTTATTTTTCTATACGCATAAAATATATCCCCCAAATTAACAACTACAAGAAAAAGTATATAGTTGAAGTCAAAATTGTTAGCCCCCTATTGATTTTTTTTCTTTTTTAAATATTTCCTAAATTATCTTTAACAGAGCAAGGAAATTTTCACAGTAGGCTATGTCTGATAATATTTTTTTTCTTCTGGAGAAAGTCTTATTTGTTTTATTTTGGCTAGAAGAAAAGCAGTTTTTAATAACCATTCTAAGGTCAAAACTATTAGCCGCTTCAAGCTTATTTTTTTTTTGATAGTCTACAGAACAACCCATCATTATACAATAACTTGCGTAGTTACCCTAACCTGCCTAGTTAACCTAATTAACCTAGTTAAGCCTTTAAATGTCACTTTAAGCTGTATAGAAGCGTCTTGAAGAATATCTAGTCAAATATTATTTACTGTCATCATGGCAAAGATAAAATAAATCAGTTATTAGAGATGAGTTATTAAACTATATTATGTTTATAAATGTGTTGAAAATAATCTTCTCTCCATTAAACAGAAATGGGGGGGGGGGGGGGGATTGGGGTTGGGAATAAACAGGGGGGCTAATAATTCTGACCTTAACTGTATGTATGTATATATATATATATATATATATATATATATATATATATATATATATATATATATATATATATATATATATATATAGCTATATATGTATGTATGTATGTATGTTTGTATGTAAGTATGTATGTATATATATAGATAGATAGATAGATAGATAGATAGATAGATAGATAGATAGATAGATAGATAGATAGATAGATAGATAGATAGATAGAGATATTTCAGTCACCAAACATAATTAGAAACTGAAAGATGATACAATTAAAATCAAGCAAAATATTGCAAAAAAATGACATCCTACAAAATTTAAACTGCATTTTAATTGCTGTACATCCTGTGTGTATTAAGCAATGTGTAAGCGAGGCGCAAAACTAACGCGCTCTGCACTGGACAATAGACCAGCCTTGTTCTGGTCTATTGAAGTTCCTCAAAATAGCATCGCGCCAGCAATGCGCCTCAACACACCTCCTTTTATAGACCAGAACGCCTATGGGCGCACATAAGAGCTTAAATGCATTTGCTATTTAAACAGTGTGGCTCAAAATGACTCTTGCACCAAGCTGAAACTAGCAAACAACAATTACGTCGTGCCTTGCGTCTCATTCCGCCGATTGTATGATAGGGTCCATAGTTTGAATAGTTTGAGCTACAGTAACCTGAACTAATCAGAGGCTAATGTATGTCAGAATACATGAAATATCTCAAAACACTAAAAACTTAAATACGTCTTTTTAATAAATTTGATGTCATTTAAATAAATAGATACATTTGATAAAAGTCGACCCCCCCTGATCGCTAATGTATAATTAGCACTCTCTATATATACTGTTTATAAGCTTTTTCTGCCTTTTTCAGGTGAACATATAAGGAAGTTTCAAGATCTACTCAAAAAATGTTTTAGTTTTTTGTTATACAGTATAAATTTGTTCTATACAATGTAATTATTACTATTATTACATGTTTGTTTTATGGTTTCTTAAACTTTTTAAATTGTATTCTATGTCCTGTTTGCGTTTTTAGTCTTCTGTACAGCACTCTGGTTCACTTTCTGTGTTTTTAAAGTGCTTTATAAGTTTGATTGATTGTGTAAAATAAATCACAAATCATTTTAAGTGCTATGTTCATGCTTATTTTCTGTTCTTGCATTTTGACAGGGAAACCTACAAGGAGGCTTAAGACATCAAACATCAGGTAAATCACAACTGATTGTTAAATTAATTTAAGAGTGCCTTCAAATATCTGGAAGATGAATGTTTTCATGTTGTATGTGTATCCTTTATGTTATATTAGTGCTGATAGTACGCTAATGCATCATGTCCATGTGTGATGAGAACATACTGTAGTGAATCCCACGGAGTCACACCTCACGACTATTGAGTCAGATTAGCGAAGGCCTGCTGGGGAGTTTGGACACACTGATTGGTCGCCCACTGACCATTGCTCTAATCCAATTGAGTTCTTATGACTGAGCTCTAAGAATAGGACTAACTAAGCTAAAACACAACAGCGACAACATTTCAATGGAGGAAATGTTCCCGGATAAAAACTCTGTAGCACTTTCCACTGTAAAAGTAGCGTTTTCTTTTTCAGCATGTAATTGAGAGGCACAGAGGAAGATGCTTGAGAGGATTTTAACTGAGATGAAGATATCCAGAGGACGACTCTGCGGAGAGTGAATGTAGAAAGGTAACACGCTTTACAAATCGTCCTTGAACTTTTACATAGTCATGGATAAATACAGCGTACGAGTGGAGAGAACTACAACAGTTGCTGAGGCAAAGAGAAGAGTCTCATTTAGGATTTTTATTTAGGAAGGTTGTCATGGCATGACCATATGCTTTACATTTAAATGCACAGCATTTTAATAACAAATTATTTATTTTCTTTAAGAAAAAACACAATCAATTTGCCAGTGCTTTTGTTACACTCATAAAATAATAATAAAAAAAAACATTTAAATTTAGCTGAAATAACACAATTGTTGATTTATTTGTGGGGGGGGGCTTAATTGTTTTATGTTCAATCCACTAAAATTTGTAAAAAATTATTAGGTTAACTTAACTCCTTCATGTTGTTCCAAAACAAATCAATTGTAAAACCTAGCAATGTTTACAGTGTACTAATAATACGTAACAGTATTAGATTTTCATGACAAAACGGCATTACAAATTGGTGTAGAAACTCTTAAACAATCTGCTAAATGTCAACAGTTGCAAAGGAACATCAAATAACACACTAAATTAAACTCAAAATACAATCAAAATAGTATTTTCTTGCAAATTGAGATCCAATAATCTTTGTTTTTATGTGCAGCCTGCAAATTTATATATATATATATATATATATATATATATATATATATATATATATATATATATATATATATATATATATATATTTAATGATAAGGGGGACTACTTTAATTAAAATGTTCAATTATTATTAATAATTTATTATCATTAATTAGTTTATTAATGATCAACGTTAATGTAATCAATGTATCTTTTTAAAGTAGGCTGTTTCTACTTCATGTTTTAATGCAAGTGACAGTAGTGCAGGGGCAAAAGTCACTTTATTAATCCATTGCACAGACAACCAACAGATATTTAACTGCAGAAATGCAATAAAATGTATTTAAATCAGTACTTACATACGTATGCTCAGTTTATATACTGGAATAAGATGCTAAAAAAGAATACAGGAATGTTTAGACTGAACCATTGCAAGCCAATTTACCTGTTAATTAGCAAACGCTGAACCTTTCTTGAGCGTACAAGTGGAAACAAAAACCCTACAAACCAAGTGATTATTTTGTTTGATGGAAATAGCCATAATGTGTTACATGCAATAAAAAAGGCATTACTTGTCAATGACAGCTGTCTCTGAGTTTGCACTTTTACCGTGCTTTAGCTTTATTAGGAAGACACATTAGAGCAAATCCACCAGGCTCTCTCAAAGCCAATTACTACAGGAAAAGACTCGAAAGCAAATGTGAGAAAACAAGACTGACACGAAGAACAGAAGAAGCGCCGTGTTTAGTTCTGTTACTCTTATGTGCTATTAAAGCATGGTAATTCCCCCTGTTTAACTCCTGTGGTCACTAAAGAAGTGTGTTGGACACTATTTTTGGTAATTGGGGGATGCATCAATCAATTGGGGTGGCAAATGAGTGAAAGAATTTCTAAAAATACATACAAATAAATATATAGAATATAAGTTGCATTGCTATGCATTTATGACTAATTTAATAAGCTCTGTTCATTTAAAAAAATTAAGCTTTATAAACTATTTTAATTAAACGATGTTGACGCAACCACTTTGGTCTGTGGCTTGGGAGTTACCAGGAAATACAGTAACATCGTAGACAAATTAGCTTATTTCTAAAATAATTAGACTTTTCTAAACTGAAGACTGCCATGATATTTATTTCAAGATCACATGGACAACTTGGAAATATCAGCAAACATCTGTTTTTTAAACTTTTGTTAACACTTTAAGTAATAAAATAGCATGTTTGTTTTATTTAGTGCCTTTCCAGTGCTCAAGGACGCTTTACAATAACAGTAAAGGGAACAAAATCAGAATCGATAACCATAAAAGTGTAGAGAAAACAGCAGACTAATAAGAAATAATAAGAAATAACAAAGACAAGGGAACAAATAGCAAAGAAGAAATATAAGTTTTAAGGAGAGACTTTCCAGTATCAATTCATACTACATAACAACTGGTTTATTACCTGTGTATTATTTACCTGTGTAGGATATTGGCTGTTTATTAGTACTTATAAAGTATAATCTTATTCTAGATACCTAATCAATACCTAAACCCAACTACTACCTAAATTCATTCAATTTCTTTTTTGGCTTAGTTCCTTTATTAATTCGGGGTCGCCACAGTGGAATGAACCGCCA